CGTACGTAGTACGTACTACGTACGTACCGTACCTACCTACGTACTACGTACTACGTACGTACGTACGTACTACGTACGTACGTACGTACGTCTACTCTACTCTCTCTCTCTCTCTCTCTCTCTCTCTCTCTCTCTCTCTCTCTCTCTCTCTCTCCCTTTGACAGAGATCATCTTGGCTAAATAAAATATGGGTAACAGGTGTTCGCAAAGGGCGTGGACAGGGATAAGGTAGTGCTGCTTGCAGCGAGGGCATCGAGGGTTGAGAACCAGGATGCCATTGACACTGCAATCGTCAACATGTTGGCTGACCCCCAGGAGGTAAGCTTCAACTGTGTTATTATACACCAAGAAGAAACTCTTGAGATTAGATAAGAAGGAATGCAATGCTCAGAGAGTGAGGAAATTTAAAAATGCATGGTCTTGCGCAGGCCCGGGCAGGCATACAGGAGGTGCATTTCTTGCCATTCAACCCTGTGGACAAGCGCACCGCCATCACCTACATCGAGTCTGATGGTTCTTGGCATCGTGCTAGCAAGGGCGCACCAGAGCAGGTGAGACATTTTCACATTTCCATCAATTAGCTTCAGGTTTTGTTTGATTCATCTTCGGATCCTAAACTAGAATTCAGGATACAGTAGAAGGTGATTTTATTTATGGGAAATTCATCAAAATACATCTCACATTTCAACTATTTAACATTCTATCCTTTTTCTACTATTCCAAATCCAAATCATGTGTATATCAACTACTTAATCTCATAGGTGTGTTTTGACAAATTTCCTTTCGTTTATTTTAGGTAGTTCAACAGTAGGGATTGAACTTGTTGGGATGTTTGGGAGGGTGTTTAGCTTAAGAATTTGACATAATTTACTGAAATTCATATTTGTTTATATTGAAAAACAATAATACAGATTGTGGATTTGTGCAACCTGAGAGAGGATGCCAGGAAAAAGGTTCACTCCATCATTGACAAATACGCCGATCGTGGGCTTCGTTCTTTGGCTGTTGCCAGACAGGTCATTGCTCTCCCTTCTTGTTATCATGGATGTGTGTGCGTCAGAGAGAGCTGAATTGTCTTTGATGGATGATTCAGGTGGTGCCAGAGGCGACAAAAGAGAGTGCGGGGCGGCCATGGGAGTTTGTAGCAGTGTTACCTCTCTTTGATCCCCCAAGGCATGACAGTGCAGAGACCATCAGGAGGGCTCTCCACTTAGGTGTGAATGTGAAGATGATCACAGGTGACCAGCTCGCCATTGCCAAGGAGACGGGACGAAGGCTGGGAATGGGCACCAACATGTACCCTTCCTCCTCCCTCCTCGGCCAGAGTAGGGATGAATCAGTTTCTGGCCTCCCCGTTGACGAGCTCATCGAGAAAGCCGATGGTTTTGCTGGAGTTTTTCCTGGTAATCCCCAAATATTTATTAATCTCTCTCAAAAACTAACTCATGTATTTCCTAGTTATTTAATTCATATTTCGGGTCTTGGTTAACATAAAAATTGTAACATAAATTCTCAAAAACTTTCACACATGTGCTTATAGGAACTAAATCAGAGTACACATTTTTGGGTTTATTTTTAAACTCCATAACTACAACCACTAACTAATTTAACACCAAGTGCACCTATGATTAGACAATGGCTTTTGGGTTTTCAATTATGAACTATGAAGATGTGCAAATATGAACAGACAAAGGCTTTTGGATTTTTTATTCTAACCTATGAAAATGTGCAAACATGAAAAGACAATGGCTTTTGGTTTTCAACTCTCAACTATGAAGATCTGAATAAACAATGGCTTTTAGGTTTTGATTCTAACCTATGAAGGATATCATGGACTGATAAATAGCTCCTCTCTCTCTCACACACACACAGAGCACAAGTATGAGATTGTGAGGAAGCTGCAGGAGAGGAAGCACATATGTGGTATGACAGGTGATGGCGTGAACGATGCCCCAGCCTTGAAGAAAGCCGACATTGGTATCGCCGTTGCTGATGCTACCGATGCTGCTAGAAGTGCCTCTGACATCGTCCTCACTGAGCCTGGTCTCAGTGTTATTGTGAGTGCCGTTCTCACCAGCAGAGCCATCTTCCAGAGGATGAAGAACTACACGGTATCCTTATTCTCTCTCTTATTCCTTAATCAATTATACTGAATCTTTTTTTCTCAATCCATCCCTGTTATTCTTTTGCTTGTGTTTTCTCTCCTTTTTGAAACACCGGCTTATTTTTTTACAGATCTATGCAGTGTCTATCACCATTCGTATTGTGGTAAGTTCTGACTTCTGAAATTGTGCTATTGTCCATTTTGTTTATGAATGTTTTGGTTCTGGTTTTTCTTTTCCCTTGTGTTTGTGCTATAATTTTGGGAGAAATATGGCAGTTGGGTTTCATGTTGATCGCTCTCATCTGGGAGTTCGACTTCTCTCCTTTCATGGTTCTCATAATCGCGATCCTCAACGACGGTAAGAGGAATCATCTCATCCATCCATTGTTCATATTGAGAAAATCAAACTGTTTGCTCATGTGAGACTCATAGTAATGTGAATGTGGTGGTGATACAGGGACAATCATGACAATCTCAAAGGACAGGGTGAAGCCATCGCCAATGCCAGATAGCTGGAAGTTGAAGGAGATCTTTGCAATGGGGGTGGTGCTCGGGACTTACCTCGCCGTCATGACTGTGGTCTTTTTCTGGGTGGTGCACAAGACTGACTTCTTCTCGGTACGCCACGCTACACCACCCCACCTAGAGAGAGAGATTGGCAGATACTAGCTGAGATAGGGAGGGAGAGTAGAAAGGAAGAGCATATGTGGTCACATAGAGGAACGTGAGGAAGGGCATATGTTTGTGTGCCTTAACCTGTTAGAGAGAAATAGAGCATCTGTGTTTGAGTTAATATGCTGTTTCTTTTTTGTATAGATATAGCAGAAAATTTTATTTAGGGATTGTATACCATGAGACCATTTATCTTCATTACAAGGAGCTTATAATTATTCTTGAGATCTCAAATTGAATAGCTTACGGCGTCATGAAGTTCGAGAATTTTTCTTTCTTGAACTTTAAGTCTAATCAATAACGCTCTTACAACTATCTGATTTGACAATTGATGGACAAGAGTAATTATGGCATCCTTATGCTAAACGTAAATGGTCTCTTTATATACTTTTTTTATATATTATTAAAAGCATTAAAGTCTATTTCAAATAGTTAAAAAATTGTATACTGTAAGACCATTTACTTAACCATTTTATTTTTGAGTTTGCACCTAGTCAATGACACAATCCTAGCACTACCCTTTCACATCTAATGGTGGGTATTTATTATAACTTATTATTAAATTATATGTACTTGTTTAAGATTCCCAATCTTGAGTCGAGGAAATCTACGCATTTTTTAAGATATTTTTCCGGGGGTACCTAAGTGAAACAAAAATTAAAAAGTAAATCTTCCAATGTGATGTTGTGGTGGTGGTGGTCGTGGTGCTTGTGTGCAGGATGTGTTTGGAGTCCGCTCAATCAAGGATAGCCAAACGGAGCTGACAACAGCGCTGTACTTGCAAGTCAGCATCGTGAGCCAGGCCCTCATCTTTGTCACCCGATCAAGGAGCTTGTCCTTCACTGAGCGCCCTGGCCTCTTGCTGCTGTTTGCCTTTGCCGTCGCTCAGCTCATCGCCACCCTCATTGCCGTCTATGCAAACTGGGGCTTCGCAAGGATTTCTGGCATTGGGTGGGGTTGGGCTGGTGTCATTTGGCTCTACTCCATTATCACCTATTCCCCTCTCGACATCTTCAAATTCATAGTTCGCTATGCTCTCAGTGGCAAGGCATGGGACACTCTCCTCCAAAACAAGGTATGTACCCCCTTCTCTCTTTATATCTATATGTTTTCTCTCTCTATCCGTGCCTCTCTAGCTCTTTCCCATCCTTTATTTGTGATCTGCTTTCTTTGATCTCTCCCTTGTTTGCTTGAAAATATGATGGAGAAAACATACAAAGTTGGCTAAACTTTTATATTCTCGTATTCTCTCTGCTTGCATGGTACTTTTCCAATTAGAATTTTCCTATTATGTAGATGTAGGCAACTTGAAATTGCCTAATCATATAAATTCTGGTCTTTCTCTCTTTTAATTTTGTATTATTTTCCTTTCCTTTTTATATTTTCTCAAACCTTGATTTTTGTCCTCTACATAAGGATTTTTTCTTGAGAATACTCATTTCATATTTTTGGCACTTACTAACTACAATATATAACCAAACTATATGAATTATAAGTGGGTTTACATCGTAAGAGTGGTTTGTTGGATGGGTTGATGTTTTGGATGGGCAGACTGCTTTCACATCAAAGAAGGATTATGGAAAGGGTGAAAGAGAGGCGCAGTGGGCACTTGCCCAGCGCACCCTCCACGGCCTGCAGCCCCCGGAGTCGTCGCAAATCTTCAACGACAAGACCAACTACAGGGAGCTCACCGAGCTTGCCGAGCAAGCCAAGCGTCGTGCTGAAGTTGCTAGGTCTGGCCCATCCCCCTATCGCTTTCACTCTCTTCCTCTCTGAAAAAAGGGCATACAACTCCTTATATTCGGGAAAGTGGTTGGGTTCGTGGTGGTAGCACCCCCGCACCCTACTCACCTTCCCCATTGGATTACCCAAAAGACAAAAAACACATTGAATTACCCAAAGAGAAAACAAAAAAAACAAAAAAAATCGTTCTACCTTAACAGTCAAAGTTGCTCAGTTTTTCTCTCTTGAGTGCTAAAACACCATCATAATGCAGTTCTTTCTCTCTAAAGGGCATTCAAAGTTGCTCAGTTTCTGTTTCTTGAGTGCTAAATCACTATCATAATGCAGTCTCTTTCTCTCTAAAGGGCATTCAACTCTTTCTATCTTAGGTGAGGTTTGTACAGGTGCCTATCTTATGCTGTATATGTAAGGCACACGTTTAAATTCTGTTGGAAGATATAGTTCAAATTTTATTATGGGTTGAAGATTCATGTTAAACCCTATTGTGAAATTTAAATTTCCAAAAATGATACAGATCAAGTTGATCTATAAACCCATGAGAATCTAAAAAACCAGACGGTCTAGATAACTTATTACAACATGTACTACTTTTAAGATTGGAAATTATTATTTTTTAAAATAATACATAAATCTCAAGATCAAGATGATTAATTAGAAGATTTTCCAACTTCAAAACACTATTTTTTATCAGATTTTTGAGGTGCACCTTACGTCTATAGTACTAGAAGTACTGGGTTACAACCTCTAACTTTTTCCTTCTATCTTAATGCTCTCTCTCTCTCTCTCTAGTGCTAAAATTATCATAATCCAGTCTCTCTCTCTCTTAAAACAAAGCTATGACCTTTATCTCTTTTTGATGCAAGTTTCTCTATCTATGTTCAATTACTATGCTTGTATTTCAAATAAGAAAGTAAATAATAGCAAACTGTTTTCTGTGGTGGTGTTATGGGCAGGCTTCGAGAACTACATACACTAAAAGGGCATGTGGAATCTGTGGTGAAGTTGAAGGGTCTGGACATCGAGACCATCCAACAACATTATACTGTTTAAGAGAGAGATGTCACTTACTCACCAAAATCAAGCAAGAGAGAGAGACAAATGGGAATTGTGAGGGACCTAGAAGTTGGGGGAGTTTGTGTTTGTATTCATGTGTTTTTTTTTTTTTCTCTCTTAATATTAAACTTTTTTCTTTGAATTTTTGGAAGGCTATTTGTATTTTTGTGTTCTCATTTTTTTTTCTCTCTCTCTACATATTAACCATTTTTGTTTAGGCAGAAGGGTTTGTAAGTTGAGAATAATTTTCTATAATGGCATCCTTTTCTCGGCTTTTAAGTCGTCAATGGGGTAAATATAAAACACGCTATTCTATTTGTTTTGCTTTTGTTTTTTTTTATTTTTTTTATTTTTTTATTTTTTTTATTTTTTTTATTTTTTTTATTTTTTTTATTTTTATTTTTTTACAAATAGCAAAACTTATTATTAATAGAAAAGGCTAGGGGAAAACACGCTACTTGTTTAAGTGAAATTATTAGTTGTGATTACCCCTCCATGCTCTCTCGCTCAACTTTAGCATGTATCTCTACTTTTCCCATTCTCTCGAGTTCAAAGCATCCATCGGCTTCATATACACTAGTGATGTGTGCACGTACGTTGTACGTATATTAAATACTAGTCACAAAAATAAATTTTCAATCTTAAACTGGCATATTTGATTATAGAGAGAGTTATAGAAAAAGGAAAGTGTAGAAAAAATTGAGAAAGAAAAGGTAAGAAGAGAGAAAGAAAAATACAGTTTTACGTGGTATGGTCTCTTGTACCTACATCTATGGTCAAAGGGCTTTTCAGTCGTGCCCATTATTTTATTCATCGAGTATTAAATAGAAAATACAAGATAACAACTAAAAAGAAATTGATATCCCCAAATATTTCCCAAATATAAAATCATGATATTTTTCACATCTAGTTATCCAAAATATGAGATTTGGATAACTATATTATCTGTGTATCATTTTTCAGTAATTAGCTGTACACGGATATATTTCAACACTCCCCCTCAAGTTGGTAAGCTGACAGCTATCAAGCCTAACTTGCCTAATGTTTCTTGAAACTGTATTTAGCTTGTGGCCTTTGTAAGGATATCAGCAAGTTGATTTTTTCTTCTGACAAATGGAGTAGTAATTTTCTTGGCTTGAACATTCTCTCTCACAAAAGACAATATGTCTCTATGTGCTTAGTCTGTTTATGAAATACGGGATTTGATGCGATATGTATAGCAGCTTGGAAGTCACAGTTCATAATCATTAGACGCAAAATATTGAAACCCATATCTTTGAGAAGAAATTTTACCCAAATTAATTCGCAGGTTGTAGTTGTCATGGCTCTATATTCGACCTCTGCACTAGATTGAGCAACCACCGATTGTTTCTTACTTTTACAAGTTACCCCTACAAATGTAAAATATCCTATGGTGGATCTTCTATCTGTAGAACTACTTTCCCAATCAGCATCAGAAAAGGCAATAATATTAGTATGACCATTCTTTTTCATTAAAATTGCTTTCCCGAGCAATGCCTTAAGGTACCTTAAAATTCGATTGACAGCTTGCAGATGAGCAATTTTTGGAGAGTGCATGAATTGACTTACCATATTGACCGCCTAAGCAATATCAGGTCTAGTAACAGTGAGACATATAAGTCGACCAACCAAACTTTGAAACATCCCAATATCTTCCTTGCTTGAGTCGATGTTGGCTTTATAATTTGTCTCAATTGGAGTATCAATAGGTTTACAACCTATCTTGCCAGTTTCGCGCAAAAAGTCTAAAACATATTTCCTTTGGGAAATAAAAATTCCTTTGTTAAAGTATGCAACCTCAATTCCAAGAAAATATTTAAGTTTTCCCCAATCTTTAATATCAGACTTCGTATAAAGGTAATCTTTCAATTTTGTTATGGCATTTGAATCATTTCATGTTATAACTCATCAACATAGATAAGGACAATAATATTCTAGGATTGCCTTCTTTTACAAACATGAATGAATCAACATTACTCTGAGAAAACCCAATATCAACAAGAGCTTGACTTAACTTTGCAAACCATGCCGCGGGAGACTATTTAAGGCCACAAATTGCGCCCCTGAGCCTGCAAGCCTTTTGTTGCCTTCTTGAGGATGACCAGGTGGAAGTTTCATGTAAACTTCTTCTTCCAAATCTCCGTGCAAGAAGGCATTTTTTATATCTAATTGATATAAAGGCCGATTATTGTTGGCAGCGATAGACACTAAAGCCCTGACAGTATTCCTGTTGTCCACAAGAGTAAAGGTTTCATTGTAGTCAACACCATACATTTGAGTGAATCCCTTTGCAACAAGTCTCGCCTTGTATCTCTCAATAGTTCCATCACTTTTGTATTTTGTTTTGTAGACCCGACCCGCTTACATCCAACTGGTTTTTTCTCTTTAGGAAGAATAACAACATCCCAAGTATGATTTTTCTTTAAAGCAACAAGTTCATCTTTCATTGCAATCCTCCATACTGCATTTAAATTAGCTTCCTCGAAGCTAGTGGATTCTTAGTTGAGGAACTTTTGATCAAAAAACACAATATTTAGGAGTTAATTTCTTAGAATCCATCTGTTTTTCAATAGGTAACTAATTTTGTGATTGCTTTCCTTGACATGATATGTATAATAATCCTTTAGACCCTGAGGAAGTTGACTAATACGACTAGATCGTCTTGGCTGAAAGTCTTGAGGAATTATTCCCCTTGATATTCATTTGAATGAACATCCTTATTGGAGTCTTGTGGTGCTTCAAGAATAGATTCTTGAGGTATTTCTTGACTTGGAGTAATACTCTTAATGATTTCAACTTTGGAATCAAGACCATCTAATTTTTAGAGATCTTCGGTAGAGATTGTCTTACTAATCTCCCCCTTAAGCTTATCAATTTGAAAATAAAGAATGTGTTCATTGAATTCAACATTCCGTGAACTATAATTCGCCTAGTTTTTTGGTCACCTTCTTGGTAGGTGAGAATATCCCATTAATAGACATTTAATGGATCGTTTAACAAGTTTGTCTCCATAATTTTTCTGATAAATGTACAAAGCATTCACAACCAAATATCTTTAAATGATGAATAGTAGGAGAGCAACCATGCAACATTTCATAGGGGCTTCTATTATCCAATATTCTAGTCGGCAGTCGATTTGTAAGATGACAAGCTGTAAGAATCCCCTCAGACCAGTATGATTTAGGAACATTCATTTGAAAAACATTTATTTGAAAAGGTAAGGCACATGTTACTTCAAGAAGATGCATGTTTTTCCTCTCAACAATTCTATTTTGTTGAGGGGTTTCTACACCTGACATCTGATGAATAACCCCATGATCCATCAAATATGATTTGTTTGTATATTTTGTGCTATTGTCAGTTCTGAAAATTTTCACCTTAGCAACAAATTGATTTTTTATCATGGCATGGAATTCCTTAAAGGCAATGAAGACATCACTCTTAAACTTCAATAGATAAATCTAAACATAATTAGTTATATCATCGATAAAAGAAAAGCACATATCTAAAACCAGAAAAAAAAGCCTAATGGAGCAAGTCCTCATAAGTCTGAATAATTGATATCAAAATTATTATTATTGATTCTATCATAATTTTAAAATGGAAATATGGTATGTTTAGTGTACCGACAGACCTCACAAGATGCAAAGGATGCATCAATACTAGAGACCGATTGCTTTATAATCTGCAATGCCGTGTATTGTCCTCGAATTGCACTTTTCCTGCAAAAACATTTTTTGAGTTTTGATCCAATAGGTACAACCCATGTGATACTAGTGTTCTTCCCATATACCTGATTCTGAAAAACCACACTGGCAACAGAAAAAATAACCAAGCAATTATAGCCTTTGTGATTTGACTAACTGACAAAATATTTGAAAGGAAAAAAAGAATATATAAAACTTCAAATGGCTTATCCTTAGAAAGAAAAAAAAAAAAGGTAATATTTCCTACTCCACAAACTGGTACCATGACACATAACTCATTGAAGACATGTGTTCAAACCCTTCGAGTCCTTCACAATGGCTAGTCATATGATCTGTAGCTTCAGCATCAATAATCCAAGTATAACAATGTTTAGAGGATAAGAGAGAAGAAAAATTACCTTGAGTAGTAAGCGGTATCTCTGAAGAGAAAGCAATATTTGTCTTCCCAATTTGGTTAAGTAACTCTTTTAACTTATCAACAGAGAGGAGCATCTCACTTTGAAGAACTTGAGCAACACGTTTCCCCCTACCAGGGGATTTTCTATAGAGAACCCAACACCTTTCTCTAGTGTTTTCCAACTTTTTTCAATGAGTACACTTAGGTCGACCATGACCACGAATCTCGAATATGTCATTGGTAGTAATAATTTTTTTTTGTTTTTGATACTCAATAAGAAAGATTGATTTTTCAATATTGTCGTTGAGATCTTCCTTTTTAATAATAGGTACATAATCTTGTGTTATGTGTGTGAAAGCAAATTAGACGTGTGGGAGTTTTATTTAACTTTTTTTTCTTTTATTTTGGGCAATTGGATTACATCTAATGTGGTGTTGTAGGAACTTTACTATTTTAAAGTAATTAAAAGCCTTTTGTTTAGAGAGTGAAAGAGTGAGAAAAAGATAGAGAGATTGGGTTGCAATTGAGTTTTCTCTTGAGGGCTTAGTATGCTCTGTTTTAGAGAAAAAAATTGAGCAAAAGGCTTGAACTCCATTTTGGGTTTGTTGTGTGTCATGTTTTCGTGAGAGAAAGTGTTAAAGAGAACTCATTTTTTGATGTTCTTGGTGCCTTGTTTTTGGACTCTATTTAGAGTGAGAATGGCTGCTGGAAATTGATATTTTAAGCTCGATTTCAATTTGTAATCTTCCCAAATCATTAAATAAAGTCTCGTGTCATTCTCTCGTAGATATAGGTCACGATTTGTAACCAAACCATGTTAAATCTTTGTGCCATGTAGATTGAATGTTGCTGGATATTTCATTCCATATTCTTGCTTTGATATTGTGTAATTTCAATTGCTTGTTTATATTGATATGAATACACAATAACTGTGAATATTATAAACCCTTGTTGTTTTCACCAATTGATCCCAAAACCTTACGCCTAGTTTCTTCTTTCTGAATAGTGGCACATGGAGAAGTATAGGAAGGAAATTCAGAAACCATTAAGATTTGACTTCTAATAGCCTCATACTCAAGAGCAAGGCCAACCAACATAGCAAAGGTTTTATCTTGTTCAACTTCTCTTATTCTGCTAAAATAGTTATTGGAGTATATTGGGA